AATGCATTCTGCATTGTGGGGGCAGGGGGAGGGGGGGCAGGTGTCCCCTGCCTATGGGCACCTCGGGCTGTGTGTCTAATGGTTACCAGGTTTTAAAAGAAGAAGAACATAGAAATAACAAAAGACTGCACCAGGAAGGAGACGTGCCTGGTGCTCCATTCTCCACTGAAGGGGGGGCAGGGGGGAGCAGGGGGGAAGGTGGGAGTTGATTCAACTATAAAATATCCTGGGACAAAAAGCCAGTATATTGAGATCACGACAGAATATCCTAACCAGGGTCCCAGGTGAGGGACCCAGTTGGGTATTGAAGTTGAGATTTTCTTTCTGTGCTAGGGTCGGGCTGAGGAAGATTGGGAAGAATCTAGACTCCCTGGTGCTGAAAATGTGTCAAGTTTCGATGTAAACACAGGGCAGTTTGAATGTCAGGGAAGTAAGTTTGTGCCAACAGCACCACCTACTGGGCACCAGAGGCACTGCTGCCCACTGGAGGAGGGACCGGCGTCATGACCAGAAGACACAAGCACAGAATCCAGTGAAGGTTTTCCCCCGTTTTCGCCCCAAATGGACCAGCTAGAGGCGCGTTGTTTGGAAGTTTCCCTGACTCCTCGGATGGAGAGCATCACTCCTACCCTAACCAGGAGGAAATGTTGTGCGCACCACAAAGGTGTTTTCTAGAAACCACCGGGAGCAGGCAGGAAAATGCCTCACCCACCGCCCCAAAAGGATAGCCACACCTTAATGCCCAGAATCTGTGCATACGTGGCCTCAAGTGGCAAAGGGAGTTTGTGTGTGTGACCCTCACGTGCAGAGGGGGCCTGGGTTACGCAGGTGGGCATCCGCAGGGTCCATAAGAGGGAGAGTCCAGGCAGGAGAGAGGTGAGGTTGGAAGGCGGAGCCTCATGTGATGGGGCAGCGCGGGCTGGGAGCGGGCCAGGGAGGAGTCGCCTCCAGCCGCTGGGACAGACAGGCGACTCCTCCCTGCCCACACCTTCCCCCTCCCACACCTTCACTCCAGTCTGGACCTCTGACCTCCAGAACGCTGAGGTAATAATCTGTGTTATTTTAAGCCAATAAGTTTGTGATAGATGAATGTGTATTTGGTATCTATATATTTTAAAGTGTGTATGTAATGTCCCAAAAATGTATATACACTTTGAATAATTATTAATTCCAATGGGTTAAATCTCAAAAGAAATATCAATTGAGCTATAAACTGTTAAAGTGTGGTTTGGGGGGAGCGGGGTGAAAAAAAGTGTGGTTTGGGAGAACACCCAGTGTGTGTGTGTGTGTGTGTGTGTGTGTGTGTGTGTGTGTTTTAACTTGTGCTGCATGAGCCGATGCTGCATGCACACTCGCGCACACACACACACACACACACACACACACACACACAGCTCATGACTGACTTCACGGACAAATCTACCAAACACAGAGGGAAATGTTCATGCCCAGTCGATGAAGGCCAGGATAGAACAAGAAGAAATACTGTCATGGGGTCAGTTCATTTCACACGGCCAGCATTACTCTGATACCAGAATCAGACAAAACTATCTCAAGAAAAAATAAAATAAAATAACTACAGGCCAGTATCCCTCATGAACACAGAAACAATAGGTTTTAAAAATGCATTAGAAGTTGAATCCAGCGACAGAAATGATGCCACATCCTGATGAAGGGCACTGTCCTGCGAATGTAACATGGGCCGCCTTTGAAAATCAATGGACGTAGCCTGGCCACGTGGCTCTGTGGGTGAGCGTCCACCCCTGCACAGGAGGTCACCAGTTCGGTTCCCAGTTAGGGCATAGGCCTGGGTATGTGGGCTTAATCCCCAGTAGGGGGCATGCAGGAAGCAGCCGATCAATGATTCTTTCATTGATGCTTCTCTCTCTCTCCCTTCCACCCTCTCTAAAATCAATAAAAACGTATTTTTTAATTGTGTGGTTTTTTTCTTTTTTAAATCAACTGATGTAATTCACCTGATAAGCAGGAAAAGAAGAAACACTGAGTCCGGTTCAAGATGGGAGACGCACCAGGACCTTGAACTCACCTCCTCCCCGGCCACAGGGACGCACAGCAAGTGCAGAACACTTTCTTCTGAAATGAACTGCACCCGAACCAACGAGACACCCACATGGACACAGCGAGAGGCTGAGTCACAACCTCACCAGCTGCCCCAGCGCAGGAGGGGCCCGGCCAGGAAGGAACTCAAAGCCAAGCTTCTCCCTGAGGAGTGAAGGGCCAGAACCCCACATCTGGCACCCCAACTTTTAAAGCCTACGCCTGAGATACAAGCCCCCATAATATCTACCTTTCAAAACCAGCAGGACTGGTGTCCATGAGACCCCAAAGCTCTGGGGAACTGAGCAACAGCTTAAAGGGCTGGCACAGACTCCCGCCGGGGCCCAGCAGAGGCAGCCGCTGAAAACACCCCACTTCTGAGAGAGAGTAGTCTATGCTTCACTTCTTGTTTGTTTTTATCCTCACCCAAGGATATTTTTCCATTTTTTTAAAGAGAGTGGAGGGGAGGAAGGAGCAGGAGAGTGGCGGAGAGGGGAAAAAGATCGAAACATCAATGTGAGACATCGATTTGTTGCCTCTCATGTGCACCCCAACTGGGGCCAAAGATGGAGCCAGCACATGCCCTTGACCAGGAATTGAACCCACGACCCTTTGGTTGGCAGGCCAACACTCTATCCACTGAACCAAACCAGCTAGGGCTGTGTTTGTCTTTTTTTTTTTTAATGGATTTCAGAGAGGAAGGCAGAGGTAGAGTGAGAGATCAACATCGATGAGAGTGAACACATTGATTGGCTGCTTCCTGCCCCCCTTTCCCCCCCCCCCACACACACACTAGGGATGGAGCCCAAAACCTGGGCCCTGACGGAATCAAACCGTGACCGCCTGGTTCACAGGTCGAGGCTCCCCCACTGCGCACAGGCTGGATTGTATGCCTTTCTGAAGGAGCCAGCGCGAGGGCGGCTTCTGGTGAGCATGGCTCCGGCCTCCTGGAACCTCCAGCCGGCGGAGGCCACACCGGCCGCAGGACTCCGGGGAGGAGCCTGCACCCCCTCTGCCGCCCTGGCTCTGGGGACCGGAGACACCTGTCCTTTGCCTTCTCACGGTCCCGGGAACTGGACAGAGGGAGAGCCCTCCTGGCCGGCCACCACCCCGCAGAGGAGGCACCCGTGTCCCGTGCCTTCAGAGCGGCCCCACTCAGTAAGCACCTGGAGGCGGCCGTCCTCTCCGAGGACCTGGAGGAAGCAGCATGGCCCCGCTCCCCCTCACACTCGAGCGCCCTTGGGAGGGAGCCTGCCATGCACCTGGTGCCCGCCTGGTGGCTGCCGCCCAGGGCCCTCCGGCCACCTGGCTGTGGAGACCAGTGCAGCTGGTTCCTGGGCCCAGGGACACACCAAACCCACAGTCCCTGGCACAGCCCTGTGGGCACAATGCCGACAGGGCCTGGCACAGTCCTTGTGCGGTCTCTCTCTGAGCGCTCTACTTGCTTCCTTGGGGCGCTGATACGGGACTCCTGGGGTGCCATCTGGGACGGAGGCGGGCGCACCTCCACACTCTGCCCCCGCCCCCGCAGGGGCCCTGGCCTGTGCGCCTGTGCTGAACTCTGCACCTGCTGCAGAGACCCTCCTTCACCAGCTCAGGTGCCTCCAGGCTGTGCTCCTGGCCTGTGGGGTACACCCCCCAGCCCCCAGGGCACAGCAGACCACACAGGGAGATGCACCCGTCTTCCTGGGAAAGGGCTACTGGCTTATCTTCATAGCTACAGCCTGGGGCCAGGCTGCTAATTAAACTAGACATAAGGGGCTGCCTGCAAGCCTCTGCAGGGACCAGGGGGACTGGGGGTGCAATCACCACGCTGCCCTGTAGCTCCACCCCATCTGGCTGTCTCTGAGGAGCCTGTGCACACATCTGGGCCCGGCTTTGGTGGCTGCCAGCAGAGGACACATCCGTGACAGCCTGGCTCCAGCGGCCAACGGGAGGTCACAGGTTCAGCGAAATGCACAGGAAGCAGCAGTTCCTCCCTGGCCATCACCCCAAGCTCAGCGCAGAGGGCGCAGCCAGAAACACCATCTCCCAGCCCTCCCCTCCAACAGGTACATTTCATCCTTTAAAAGCTGCTGCCTGCCCTGGCTGGTGTGGCTCAGTGGATAGAGCGACAGCTTTGGGGCTAAAAGGTCTCGGGTTCAATTCCAGCCAAGAGCACATGCCCAGGTTGCAGACTTGACCCCAGTATGGGACGTGCAGGAGGCAGCAGATCAATGATTCTCTCATCACTGATGTTTCTCTCTTTTCCTTCCTCTCTGAAGTCAATAAAAATATATATTTTTAATTCTATTGATACATAATAAAAGGGTAATATACAAACTGACCAAACAGCAAAATGGCTGGTCACTATGACACACATTGACCACTAGGGGGCAGATGCTCAACGCAGGAGCTGCCCCAGGTGGTCGGTGCACTCCCACAGGGGGAGCACTGCTCAGCCAGAAGCGGGGCTGAAGGCTGGGGTGCAGGGGCCCACCGCCCTGGCAGCGCTAAGGATGTTGGAGGGACTGCCCTCAGTCAGACATTCCCCAAGGGCTCCCGACTGTGAGAGGGTGCAGGCCGGGCTGAGGGACAAAGGCCATGCACCACGCCTCAATGATAAAAGTCTAACCCCTGTGCTGGACTCCTGAAACTAATATACTATTGAATGCCAACTGGAATTGAAACTTTTTAAGTAAATAAACAGACTACAAAAAAAGAAAATAGGAACATGAGTTAACCATGAAGAAAACTTGCTCTGAATGTTTAGGTGACGTTTCAGCATTTCCACGAAGCAACATGAGCATTGGAAAAGGTGCCACGTGAACCCCCGTGGGCCGAGACTGGCCCTGTGCCCACGCCCGCTGTGGGGGATGGGCAGGCTGGGCGGCTGCGGGGGGGTCTCACCCCCCAGGCCCGCTGCACACCCGTCAGACCAGTTACATCCACACACACCGGCCGGGAAAGAAATGTTTATTCGATAACCCTTTGAGGGAACCACATGGCTTCCAGGGGTCACTGGGTGGCCCAGCGGCCGACGAGCCTCCCAGGTCGCCGCACCGTGAGTGCTGACACCCACAGCCGCCCGAGGGGCCGTCTGACCTCGTCCAGGGCACTCGGGAGGGAGGCAGCTTTGTCTGAGCGGGGAAGGGGCTTGAGGGCGAGTTAGGAGGACGGGAGAGCAGAATTCGTGCCTGCGTCTGCGCCACGTGGGGCATGGCCTCGGGCAGGGTAAGGCAGCGTGCGGCTCGGGCTGCGGAGGGAGCAGTGCTGAGGGGGGCGGGCGGGCGGGTCCTCCGGGCCTCAGTCGTCTTCGCCCCCACAGAGCAGCAGGAGGGCTTTCTTGTAGTCCCCGGACGTGTCGCCCTGAAACCCAGAGGGTCTGCGTGAGCGCCACCTTCAGGCAGCCGCAGGGACAGAGAACCAGCCGGGCGTGACCCCACACAGCCTGTCTAACTCCTGGCTCGGCCCGCCACAGCGTAGTTCTGTCGGAGAAGCTGGTCCCCTCGGAGCCCCACACCCATTCCCACCGCTGTCTGGACACACTCGAGCCCGTGTCAGATGCTGAGGGCGCCACGGACGCCTGGCTGCTGCGGCTCTGCCCCAGGACAGGCGGCCAGGCGGCCCCTCTGCCTGTCGGGCACAGAGTGTGCGACCGGTGCTTCAGGCTCTGAGAGCATGAGAGCAGGAGCAAAGGACTCAGGTGCCCTCACCGCCTCACCACACATAGGGAGCTGCTCCACGGAGCCGCGCCTTAACCCTAACCCTGACCTTAACCCTAACCTTAATCCTAACCCTGACCCTGACCCTAACCCTAACCTTAACCCTAACCCTGACCCTAACCCTAACCTTAACCTTAACCCTAACCCAGACCCTAACCATGACCCTAACCCTAACACTAACCTTAACCCTAACACTAACCCTAACCATAACCCTAACCCTAACCTTAACCCTAACCCTGACACTAACTTAAACCTTAACCCTGACCCTAACCCTAACCTTAACCCTAACCCTGACCCTAACTTAAACCTTAACAATGACCCTAACCCTAACCCTAACCCTGGCCCTGACCCTAACACTGGCCCTGACCCTAACCCTTACCCTGACCCTGATCTAAACCCTGACCCTAACCATGACCCTGACCCTATCCCTGACCCTAACCCTTTCCCTGACCCTAACACTGACCCCGACCCTAACCCTAACCCTTACCTTGACCCTGACCCTAACCCTGACCCTAACCATGACCCTGATCCTATCCCTGACCCTAACCCTAACCCTGGCCCTGACCCTAACCCTAATCCTAACCTTAACCATAACCCTAACCCTAACCCTAACCCTGACACTAACTTAAACCTTAACCCTAACCCTAACCCTAACCATAACCATAACCCTGGCCCTGACCCTAACCCTGGCCCTGACCCTAACCCTTACCCTGCCCCTGACCCTAACCCTGACCTAAACCCTAACCCTGACCCTAACCATGACCCTGACCCTATCCCTGACCCTAACCCTTTCCCTGACCCTAACACTGACCCCGACCCTGACCCTAACCCTTACCTTGACCCTGACCCTAACCCTGACCCTAACCATGACCCTGATCCTATCCCTGACCCTAACCCTAACCCTGGCCCTAACCCTGCCCCTGACCCTAAACTGGCTGGGAGGAAAGTGGGAGGGGGAGGGAGGAGGGAGGGGAAGAGAGGAGAGGAGAGTCAAAGGCCTTAAGCCACACTTGGGTAGCAGTGCCCTGACTTACTCCTGTGACCTAGTCAGTTCTTTCTTGAATTGTGAACCAGAGACACAGTGATGACAGACAGACTAGATGAGACAGGAGGAGCCATCAAGGCTACTGGAGCTGATCAGAGAGAGCAAACACGCTGTCACCCTGCCAAGGGGAGGGTCTGCCGAGGCATCTGTGGCCTCTGCCAGCCAAGGCTCATGCTCCTCAGGCCTCAGCCTGACCAGAGCCATCACGGCCTCCAGGGACAGCGTGCTAGCCTCCCTGCTCAGCCTCCCTTCGCCCCCCTACTCTTTCCCCCTACACCCAGCCTTCCCCACCCCCCCACTGCCTCCCCTACACCCAGCCTTCCCCACCCCCCCACTGCCTCCCCTACACCCAGCCTTCCCCACCCCCCCACTGCCTCCCCACACCCAGCCTCCTCCCTCCACACTGCCTCCCCCTTTCCCCACTGCCTCCCTCACACACTGCCTCTCTGCCCCTTTCCCCACTGCCTCCCACACACCCTGCCTCTCTGCGCCTCCCCCCACTGCTTCCTCAACACCCTGTCTCTCTGCGCCTCCCCTCACTGCTTCCTCAACACCCTGTCTCTCTGCGCCTCCCCTCAGCTTCCTCAACACCCTGCCTCCCAGCACAGCCTCCCTCTGCCCTCCCACTGCCTCCTCCACACCCAGCCTCCTCCCTCCACACTGCCTCCCCCACACCCAGCCTCCTCCCTCACAGCCTCCCCCCACACCCAGCCTCCCCTGCACTGCCTCCCCCCACTGCTGCCCCACACCTCATCCCCCTGCTGCCTGAATCTCAGCACAGAACCGCCCTCCCCGCTGCGCGTGCACGGGGCCTGCTGTGGGTTTCTGGTCGGAGCAGAGAAGGCCCTCACCTTGATCATGGAGTAGAGCGAGGTGGCGAAGTTCTTCCGGAACTCCTTCCTGATGTTGAACAGGTCGACCTCGCTCCGGGACACGATGACCCGGACGAGGGTGTGGTCGTCGGTGCCGGCGCCCTGCAGAGAGAGTGAGAGCGGATGGGGGCCTTTACAGACGCCGCCCCGGGCTGGGCGCTCGCAGAGAGCCTTTAGTGAAAGCAGTGACAGCGCTAAGGAGAGCCGTCCACGGCCGTCACCTAAGCCATTGCCCAGCACCACAGCCGGAGAGACAAGCGGAGGAGCGAGCGGGCACTTGCCTTCATCGCGTAGTAGAGGGTCTCGGCCAGGTAGGCAGGGATGCTCCGGATGCACTTCACTGGGAGGAGAGCAAGAACATGAGGTCAGGGGCTACTCCGACAGCAAGGGGCGAGGCAGCCCCGGCCAGTTTGGCTCAGTAGGTAGAGCACAGGCCTTCGACTGAAGGGTCCCGGGTTTAATCCTCAGTGTGGGCCGTGCAGGAGGCAGCCGATCAATGATTCTCTTTCATCCTTAATGTTTCTATCTCTCTCTCCCTCTCCCTTCCTCTCTGAGATCAACAAATATATATTTATTTTTTAAAAGGGACTAATTTGAAGTCCCAGGCACCCTCCCGCCCACAGCTGTTTTATTCCCGCAGACCCAGGGAACTGAGCTCCAAGTGTTTCCCCAGAGGAAGGGAGGGGGAGGAAGACTGCCTCAGGCCCCGCTCACCAGCAGGGGGCGCAGAGAGAGGGTCGGATCTGAGGCCACTGTTCCCAGCAACCTCTCTCCTGGCAGTTTTGGTAGCGTTGGTTGTTAAGACACAACCTTCATCGGCCTCGAGAAAGTCCACAAGCTTCCTGGAGGTCTCGTCCCAGTACATTCAAGCCAGTAACACGGACTACGCTTCTCCCTGGTCTTTGCAAACCCTTTCTGTGCCCGCTATCGTAACCGAGGTGTCTGTCTGCACGCTGAACACCACGGGGTCCACAGGAGGAACACCAGGTAAAAGGGGGCAGGAAGGACACCCTCCCTAGACGGGCACCGCCCTATCCATCCCCTGGGCAGCCGCTCGGCCCTCAGGCTGCTGAGCTGCAGAACGTTTAGATGAAAATCCCTTTTGATCCAAAAATAACCCCCCATGGGGACAGGGCAGACTTCTTCCCAACGCTTTGACAGAGCCCGCCCCCAGTGACTGCACGTCACAACGCCCATGTGCAGCGACGTGCCCCTCGAATCCACGGGGAAGCCGGGCCTGGGCCGCGCCTCCTGGGCCTGCCTGGATTTGGGAGCATGTGATGCTACAAGAACCTGCACCCACTCGGTTCCCCGTCTTCCAGATCACCCTGAGTGGGCAGCTGCCATGAAATTCCCCATCGTTTATCTGCAAACAACCACGGTCACAGCTCCCGGTTCATCCAAGACCCTTTTCTCCATCGGCCAAGTCTCAGCCGCCACGGGGGAGGACAGGGCTGGGAGCCACAGCGTCCGCAGCATCAGCGATAACGTGGCCCGGCCTCAGACGCCGCCCGCCCTCCAGCTCCTCAGGACGCAGTAAGACCGTAAGAGCAGCTTCGAGAGGATGCTCACATAGCTACTATGTATCCCCACAAGCGATAACCAGGCCATCTGTGTTCCCCCCCAAAGCAGACATCACACGGGAAGGCAGGCGTCTGTCACCCAGATCTCACACGCTCTTCTTTTCACCAGGAATCGGTGTCGATGCTCAGACAGACACGCTCTCAATGCCGCATCACCGACACCGTACGGTGACCTACCGACAGCCAGCAGCAGCTGCTCCAGGTTTCCAGAAGTCTCCCGATCAATGGTTTCCTCGATCTGGAATCCCGAGATGGTCATGTACTTGTCGAACACTGGAGAGCAGAAAGACGGTCTCAGGACACCAGGCCCCTCTGCCCACAGGGACAGGCACCCCTCTCACCGGCGCCGCCCTTCAGAACACAAAGCCCCTCTTCCTTCCTGACGGGGCCTCGTGTCCGAGCCGCAGAGGGCCCTGAACACCTGATGGGACTGTCCTGCTCACTGATATCCCAGCCCTGAGCCATGGGACCTACAGGGAAGTCCGGAACACTCCGAGACACCTTCCTCTCCTTATTAAAAGTCATAGAAGCACGTTTACCTCTTCCTCTCCTTAGCCCCGAGGACTATCCAATGTAACAAACTGTGGACAACTCACTAAAACCCAGAGGAGCCATCAAGCGCCAACGCACCCGGAGAACACAGGGGGGGAACACAGATGGCCTGGTTAGCGCCTGTGGGGATACATGCCTCTATGGGAGGGGTGCCCACAGCCTGGGTCTGTGATGAGAGGACAGCCCGAGCAGGCCGCTCCCGCCTGGAGCGAGAGGCGGACGGGGCCCTCCCTGTAAAAGCTACAGCAGTGAGGAGAATGCCGCGAGGCCCCAGGTCCCCCAGAAGGAAGCAGACGCGGGCCCGTCCATACCACAGAGCACCTGCCGGTAACGGGCACTCCCGTGTCTCCCGCACTCACCCCGCCGCAGGTGCGACACGCTCCGCGTCCCGAAGATGGTGATGAACTTCTCCTCGTCCGTGCCCCACTTCAGCTCTCCCGCCTGGAACAGTGTCTGGAAGAGTCCGCTCCGTCAGACCCGGCTCCTTCACCGCTGCGTCACACCCAGGTTCCTCCCCCCAGAGTGTTAACCTGCCCGGCGCCTCATCTGGCACTTTTCCATCTAACGTTTCTGTTCTGAGCCCACGGCCCGAGTCTGGAGCTACTTGGGACCCTGAGGACGAACGGCCACAATCGCCCTGGATGCCCAACCTCCTGTGTCCCTCCCCGGCCCCAATCCTGCACGGGCAGGGTCTCTGGGCCTGGCTTGTGTCTTCTCGCAACCTGGGACCCCTCGGGGGGTGTCGGAGAGCCAGTTTCAGCCCAGTCCCTGCAGGCCAGACCAAGAGACCCCACCAGTGCACAAATCTGTGCACCGACCTCTAGTATTTTTTTAAAACAACAACAGGGAAGACCCCCGGTGGTCAGCCCTGAGCTCCAGCGTAGAACTCAGTGTTCAGACCCCTCAAAGCAGCCTGCACACCTCCTCACAGAAACAGAATGTGTTCCTTGAAGAGTGTTGTAAACACAGGACAACATGCATGAAATGAAATTACCATAGTACCACCTACTGCGTTTCCCACAGAGACACGCACACACTCTACAGGCGGGGCCTGCACCCGGGCGGGGCCTGCACCTCCAGGGCGGCTCCCCTGCAGGCGGGAGCGGTGACCCCTGCAGCCGGGAATCATGGGAAACGGCTATTTTAACTACAGGCTCCTGATTTTTGTGAAAGAGCTGTCTGGATCAGTATCTGTTCTACAGCTACTCGCAGGAAATCCCGCAATGAGATGAGGGCGCTTCACAGAGGCAGATGCTGAGAAACCTCGCCGTGTCCTGCTCTGATGGGCAAGTCCGCCCCCCTCCCGCGCGGCCCCCCCCACTCCCTCCACCCCCCAACACCGCTGCATCCACACACACGGCTGCTGATGAGGGGCCTCCCGCCTCCCTCCCCAACACCCTCCCTGCATCCGCCCAAGCACAGCTGGGGAACCCCGGGCTCAGTGCCCAGTACGAGGCTCCAGAGTCAGAAGGCCTCCCCATCCCTCTCCCCCTCCCCCTCCCCCTGATCCTCTGTGGTTCCTAGGCGAGGCCCTGGTGTCTTCAGGAGCCTCAAGGCCCACCTTTGGAGCAGGATGTTTCCACAGGCTCAGCCACCCGCTCGCTCAGTGAGCACAGCGCCCTGCTCCCCTCCCACCCGGGCCACCGCCCTGAGCGTGCAGGGACAGGGAGGAGGCGGGCTCGGCTCCACTGCACGCAGGCCAGGCCAGGGCCACCCAGCACGCTCAGGCCCGCCAGACGCACCACTCCCACGTCCTGAGACAGTGGAGGCTCGGGCCAGGGACCAGGAGAGAACACGTCACAGGTCTGAAGGGCCCAAAGGTCCCTTCTCCCCAGCTGGCAGGACCGTCTCCAACAGGCTGACCCTGACCTAGTAACTCGCCCAGAGCCGACCCGAAGAGCGGGGTCGCCATCGTGCTGCCCGTCCCTGTGCAGGCGGGAGGCCGGGCTCCCTTGGGGGACCCTCCCTGGGGGACACTCCCTCGGAGGACCCTCCCTGGGGGACAGTCCCTGGGAGACACACCCTGGGGGGACCCTCCCTCAGGGGACCCTCCCTGGGGGACACTCCCTCGGGGGACACTCCCTTGAAGGACACTCCCTGGGGGACACTCCCTGGGGGACACTCCCTGGGGGACACTCCCTCGGGGGACACTCCCTTGAAGGACACTCCCTGGGGGACACTCCCTCGGGGGACACTCCCTTGAAGGACACTCCCTGGGGGACACTCCCTCGGGGGACACTCCCTAAGCACTTTCGATGTAGCGCCCCTTCGGGCTCTGGGGGGGGGGGGCACCCCTGCAGGCAGGTAGGTGACACCGAACAGCCTCATGGGCACCGCCAAGCCTGTGAGAAATGCCGGTGCCCAGCCCCGGGCCCTGAGGGGAGCCTGTCGGGGGTCGGGGGGGGGTGTGTCCCCGGGCGATGAGTCTGAGACACACTGACAGGGAGCACTCTGCGGAGTCTGAGACACACTGACAGGGAGCACTCTGCGGAGCGATGGCACTGAAACCGGTGACAATGGCATCCGCTCGGCAGAATTCCGTCAAGAGAGGAGGCAACCTCCAAATCCTACAATGAGTTGTCACCTACTATATACTAAACACCATGCAGCACTAGAGCCTACCCTTCTTATCCCTCTGCCCTGACCTGCCGCCTCCTCGGCAGTGGGATCAGTAACACCTGGGTTGTTCTTTGTCAAATTCTCCATTTTGTGGGTGCTCCGGGATCCCAGGAAAACTGACCTCGGTGCGCCTCACACTTTATATGTATTTATTCACTGCACTTCGGCTTTGGGATAAAAGACTTTGTGGGCCACGTCGAAGTAAAAGAAACGTACACGGGCCTTGTGCTTTGAGAGACCAGACAGAGGCCATGGCGACACAACACGAAGAATGTCATGAGCACGGGCCTCATCACTCCGCTGTCACCTGCAGCCTCACACACGGTGCCACTCACCTGCGCATCCAGTTCAACCTGCGCCTCGTTGATCCCGCCGTCAGGGTCTCGGTTAGCCTGCGAGAGAGGACACACGTCCCTGAGTTTCCCCAGCTTTTCCAAGAAAAGGAAATGACTCCCCCTGCTAGCCCCGGTCAAACCCAACCTGATCTTCTCGGTTTCACATTCTATGAGTGAAAGATGGTGTGACACCCAGAAAACTTCCAGTTAGCTACTGGGAGTTCCGGTCAGGCCTGAGGCAAACAGACAATACACAGACACAGACACCACACAGACACACAGACACAGACACAGACACACAGACACAGACACACAGACACAGACACACAGACACAGACACAGACATACAGACACAGACACACAGACACATACAGACACAGACAGAGACACACAGACAGAGACACACAGACACAGACACAGACACACAGAAACAGACACACAGACACAGACATACAGACACAGACATACAGACACAGATACAGACACACACAGACACACAGACACAGACACACAGACACACAGACACAGACATACAGACACAGACAGACACACAGACACAGACACACAGACACAGACATACAGACACAGACACACAGACACATACAGACACATACAGACACAGACAGAGACACACAGACAGAGACACACAGACACAGACACACAGAAACAGACACACAGACACAGACATACAGACACAGACATACAGATACAGACACACACAGACACACAGACACAGACACACAAACACACAGACACAGACACACAGACACACAGACACAGACATACAGACACAGACAGACACACAGACACAGACACACAGACACAGACATACAGACACAGACACAGACACACACAGACACACAGACACACAGACATACAGACACAGACACACAGACACACACATACAGACACAGAAAGACACAGACACAGATACCACACAGACACGGACACACAGACACACAGACACAAAACAGACACAGACACACAGACACAGACACCGCCCCAAGCAAGCACCAGAAATGACTGACAGTGGCCTCATTTAACGGACCAGACCAGGCTGGCATCAGATTGACTACCGCACTGTAGGTCCCCCAGATACCTGGAGGAGAACCACCAGCATCCTCTGGTAGAACCCCGAAGTGTCCCCCACCACGTCGTCTTCCAGGCTCGAGCCGTATTCTGCAATAGAACAACGTCAGGGTTACTGACAGCTCCGTCAGCCAGGAGGGAGATCCCGCCCCTTCGCCCAGGAGGACACAGAGGAAGCGGAGCCCAATCAGCCCAGCAGGCGGGACCCATGAACCAGGAGGTCATGGTTCGATTCCTGGTCGGGGCACACGCCCGAGTTATACGCTCCATCCAGGACCACGGGAGCCCGCAGCCCTTGTGACTAAAATGCAGCCACCACTAAAGAAAGGAGGCTCCTCCACAGCACTTAAATATTTCATCGTATCTGAAAGCAGGCAGTACTAAAAGCCTGGAACGTCGATTGGGATGGGCGTGCAGGAGGCAGCCAGTCAACGATTCCCTCTCAGCACTGGTGTTTCTACCTCTTTCCCTTCCCCTTCCTCTCTCTGAAATCAATAAATTTTTAAAATTGATCTTGACTTTAAAAAAGAAGTATCTGATTAGCATAAATGTTCTCTACTCTGTTCTGAGTGCCCTCGGCTGTGACAGCCAAGGCTCTGAGTGAGTGCTGGGTGGAGAGGTTTCCCAGAAGCCCTCGGTCCACGCCTGGACCATGACTCAGCGCTTACAAGTGCTCCAGGCACTGTCGCTGTGAGCTGGCGGACACCCCACGGACACCCCGCAGACACCCGGTGGACAGGCAGCACCGAGAGCCTCCATTGCAAGCGACCCCGTGCCAACTGCCTCCTTCCTGCTGGACGGTGTACCGGACGGTCCCAAAGGTCTCCGCTCTCCAGACCAGCGATTTCCAACCTCTCCCACCGCACGGCATAACCGAATCATGCCAGCAGATGTGACACTTCCTGCCAGTCTGGCACACAAAAGAGGCATGGTTCTGATTCGTTCACACCGGATGGCTACGGCTGTGTTGGCTGCTGTCATGTGCTCGTTTGACAATCTGAGGGGAGAGGTCGTGTCCTGGCTTGGCAGTCAGGATGGCACGTCTTGGATACCCATGTGGCACACCAGAGGAACACTGCTGGTCTGGTCCTGTTTTCTCTCTTGGGGAAAGGCATCCTGCCACTAACAGGGTGTCTTTCCTCGGCAGCAAGTAAAGTTCACCCTGAGGGAGAGCAGTGACCGCTCAACCGAGGCCGCTGCCCGCCACACATTTCGGCTCCTCCCCCTGGCCGAGGGCAGAGAATGGACCCAGAAGCCTGCAGTTAAATACTCCAAGGCATTTAAATACTTTGTCGTTATCTGAAAGCAGCCAACACTCAACAGCCTGGAACTTCTATTTGAAAAAGTCCAAGAGCATTGCCTGTTTATTTCAATCCGTGACCCAAACACAAAACCCACAGGGCTCTTCCTCGCTCCCTCTACCATCTACCCCACGCCTTTCGCATGTGTCTCCCTAGGCGTCATCCCCCCACCTGCACCCACCTGGACGAGTGGGACCTGCCCAGCTTACCTCCCGCCCACACCCGGCCACCTGACGCAGACCCTTCCTCCCGGTCCTTCAACAGCCCTCGCCCACGCGGGAGCGCTGTGCCTCTGAACCAACGCAAGCCTGTGGACCCGCCAGGCGAATCCCCCTCCAACAGCATAACCTCAGCCGCTCAGGTTCTCCCCGCAGACACACGCATATCCGCCCCACGCTGGGTTCTATCCCCTCCACACACTTCCCACAGCCCTGTCTCCACGGCACTGCAAGCCAGGGGCAGGCAAAACTGCCTTCCTCCTCCCCCTACTTCATCCCCATCCCCATCCCCACCCGTCTCCAAACCCTGCTCAGCGCCTGACTACACCATGAACACCCTCCCAACACCCAAAGCCTCTCCTCTGAGTGAATTCTTGCATTCAAGGCTGTTGGTATTTGGCTTCAGTTTGAAGTTGACTGTCCTGTAATTACTGCCCCCAGTAGGCAGCAGCTGCCCTGAGGGTGAACTAGGCCAGAGACACCTTCCCATCATTCCCCACTGCCCACACTGCTGCCAGCTGCTGCTGCCAGCTCAAGTCCCTGCAGACACTGTGCCCTCGAGGCGCCCGGAGGCCATGGCCGCACACAGGCTCACCCTTCCATGTCAGAAAGATTCCTGACTGTGCCATGGAGTATGGCTCTCAGGCGACCACGGCCCCTTTCTTTTACCAGAATTCAGAAGCACCTGCAGCTCCCTCTGGCCCAGCCTGACAATGCTGGCTTCCCTGCTCAGGAGTCAAACTGCCCTTTTTCCCTTTTCCGGCCCCCTCCCTCTCTGCATCCTCTCCTTAGGGAGGTTTTTAACCATTTGCTATCTTAGGCGACCCACAGGTTGAGAATCGCTGCTATAGAGCCTAAGACCATCGGAAAACACAGGTATTTACATCACGATTCATAACAGTAGCAAAATTACAGTTGTGAAGTAGCAACGAAAATAATTTTATGGTTGGGAGTCACCGCAACATGAGGAGCTGTATTAAAGGGTGGAGGCATCAGGAAGGTTGAGAACCTCTGCTAGAGAAATGAAGGAGGGACAGTGGGGACAAGAAAGGCAGGTTGAAGCCTATACCTTCTTCGTAGGTGTTCTTTATGGCTGTGAGCTCCTCGGGGGTCCGGGAAGCAATGATTTCCGTCAGGACTTTCTCATCCGTCCCCGCTCCCTGTGTGGAGATTGATTTTTAATGAGAAGAACGTGTCCACAGACTAAAGAGAAAGTGATATTCCTACAATAGACGTTACCCAAACTGCAGAATTATATAGGCAGGGGTCCTCAAACTTTTTAAAGTGGGGGTCAGATCACGGTCCCTCAGAGAGCTGGAGGGCCGGACTATATGAACTACTAATTCCTACTGTAACACCTCGGCTGCACTCACTGCCCAAAAAACCTGGCGGGCCGGATCAGACTCCTCTGCGGGCCGCATGTGGCCCTCGGGCTGTAGTTTGAAGACGCCTGAATAGAGTATCCAATGTAACATTCACTACTTTGCATGAGTTCCATTAGTTACAGAAATAAGAAATTTCAAGTTAATTTTCTTTCCTAAGACAATGTTGTCCCTTCTTGTCTAATGAAAAACAACCTTCATTGAATGTAAGTGCATATAGAGATAGCAGGTTACACAACCCTGTAATTTTATCTGTTTCATTCTTAATAATTTAGAAGTAAAACATTTTAATGAAACGTGGAAAAATAAAAAAGGCTGAAACAGTGCAAATGTAACTCAGAGCAGCACTGATACGTAAACAATCTATCTCAAAACATCAGCCCCGCTCTCACTCAGTGCTCTGGGCACACGGGACGTCTGAGCAGCGTGGCTCAGTGAGCAGGGACTGAACCAGTGAAAGGACTGGGACTTGCTTTCTAGAGTTTTGAAAAACAATTGTCACCCGCTTTCCTTTTTCTGATTATAAAAGCCGTCACGACACTGATAAATTAGCAATGATATAACCTGACTCAACTTTAGAAGGAAGTACGTGCTGAAACCGGTTTGGCTCAGTGGTAGAGCATCGGTCTGCGGACTGAAGGGTCCCAGGTTCGATTCCGGTCAAGGGCATGTACATTGGTTGCGGGCACATCCCCAGTAGAGGGTGTGCAAGAGGCAGCTGGTCGATGTTTGTCTCTCATCGACGTTTCTAGCTCTCTATCTCTCTCCCTTCCTCTCTGTAAAAAATAAATAAAATATAAATTAAAAAAAAGGGAGGTACGTGTAAGCATCAGTCTCTTCCTATCTCTGTTTCTTTATCAAAAACCAAGCCCTTGGAAGACCTGGATTTCACTCGGGCAGAACCTTGGTTGCTGCTACCACTGCAGAGCTGGCCACAGACACCTGCCCCAGGGCCGCGGACAGTGTTTATCCCAAAGAGCCGGCAGGGAAATGCAGGGCGAATGCCCAGGAAGGCCCTGACCTGGTCCCCTTCTCCCCTCCACTCCCACGGAGAATCCCTGGCCACATGACCTCTTTGTTATCCAATCTGCTTCCTTTTCCTCCCAACTCAAAGCTGCCAATGAATGACATTTCCAGTGCCACCGGTCCAAACCACAAACCACGGTTTCCGTGTGGCCAGAATGACCATATTCCAGCACCGGCAAGGACACGTGCGGTGAGCTACCTGCTACAGTGTCACCCGGTCCTCCCAGGAAGGGGTGTAACAACACTTTCTGACCTGAAAATTCCCGAAGCTTCACTGTTTAACCTCTAATGATCAACAATACTGTTTCCCCACCCCGCCAACTTCCTATTCTATAAGACAGGATGCCTAACCTGACCATTTTTAAGAAACATCTCAAAATTAGAAATAGGCTTAAAAGATCTAAAAGGCTGTAAAAAATGTTAAAAATTTAAATAGCACCCAGCTGGCAAGGCTCAGTAGTTGAACATAGACCTATGAACCAGGAGGTTGTGGTTTGATTTCCGGTGGTTCGATTCCCGGTCAGGGCACATGCCTGGGTAGCTGGCTCAATCCCAGTGTGGGGCATGCAGGAGGCAGCCGGTCCATGATTCTCTCTCATTATTGTTGTTTCTCTCCCTCTCCCTTGCTCTCTGAAATCAATAACAATATACATACATATACTAATGTAAATAGCTATAGCGTTGAGTAAACTACACAAGGACAGAGTGACACACTTGTAATGTTCTCCTCCCACCGCTCTGCTCTCCAGGAACCCTCGCAGGGATAACTGGACAGTTTTACTAAGAAGAAGGCGGTCACCATGGGGAGGCCGTGGGGCCTGTACCTTGAGGGCGTGCTTCAGCTCGTAGGCGTCGTACAGCCTCGAGGGCTTCATCAGCGCCACAATCAGCTTCTCGAACTTCCCCGTCAGCTCCGACTTCAGGTCGTCCAGGAGGTCCTGCTCGGAGAACACAGACGTTACCGGGCACACGCTGCGGCTCTTCGCCGTGAATGACAGCGGCGCTCTGAGGGCTCCCCATTGGGAGGCAGCAGGATGGGGCTCTCAGTGCTGCCCTGCCCGCCTGGGCTTGAGGGAGAGCAAGGTCACGCCCTCCGTGTCAAGGTCGCTGTTCTCAACAGATGTTTCTCTTCCTTCAGGAATTAAAGAAGTGAAAACTTTAAAAGGACACAAAAATTCTGTTTTATTATACTGTTCTGAGAAACACATGTAGCTTTAAAAAGAACTTCTTCCAAAATATCGTAAATGTATTTTGACAAAAGGTAAGATCTGTCCTTCACAAGCATCTGTCTTTTCTCTCAGTGTCGGGAGGACGCACAGTGCCGGGCGGGGCCTGCACCGGATGGGAAACTCGCTCAGGGTGAGGAGAGGATTCCCACCCCCTCCCGGGCCTCCTGGCAGCTGGAGACTGGGTTCAAAGTACCTGCTTCTCCTTCTTATTTTTTTATTTTTTATTTTTTGCTTTGCATTTGTTTCTAAATGAAAGGCCGAGTGAAAATTTGCAGAATAAGATGACATCTAAGTTGATTTCTTAACAAATTTAACTTCCATTTGAATCATCAAAATACCACTCCCCGTCGAGAATGTGCCTATGTCCTGACCACACCCATCGTGGTCCAGGCCGGCAGCTGGAAAAAGAGGGACCCCATGAGACCCTGGGGCGGCCGGGACCCCTTGGGACACCTGAGGGAGGCCGGGACCCCTTGGGACACCTGGGGGAGGCCGGGACCCTGTGGGATGCCCGGGGGAGGCCGGGACCCCATGGACCCTGGGGAGGGCCAGGACCCCGTGGGACACCTGGGGGAGGCTGGGACCCATGGGAAGCCTGGGGGGAGACCGGGACCCCGTGGGACACCCTGGGGGAGGCCGGGACCCCGAGGGACACCCTGGGAGGCCGGGACCCTGTGGGACCTTGGGGAGGCCAGGACCCTGTGGGACACCCGGGGACGGCACAGGAGGACAGGGCGATGTGTGGGGACAGGCCGGTGAGCATGTTCACCAACAGCTGCTCATTAAGCAGATGGGGACGGGGAGGAGGAGAGCTAGAATTGTTAAACACATGATTTCTGCCAAAGAGCACAGCAGGTTTCACACTCATCTTAACACTCGCAGCTGCCAGGGTGGAGGGAGGCAGTCTTACCCGGCCGTACAGTGTCTTGAAGGCGGACACGATCTCCTGGCGCTGTGCATTGCTGCGGGCGGTCAGCAGGGTCAGGATGGTCTCCTCATCGGTGCCTGTGGGTGGCACTCAGTCAGGCCTGGCTGCACACCCTGGGGCCTCACCTCATACAACATGTCATGTTACACAAAACATTAGACTAGAGCACTGAGGCCGGCCAGCCAGCATGGCTCAGTGGATAGAGCGTCAGCTTGCAGACTGAAGGGTCCCAGGATCGATTCTGATCCAGTGCATGTACTCAGGTTGCAGGCTTGATTCCCAGTAGGGGGACGTGCAGGAGGCAGCTGATCAAAGGTAATCTCTCATCATTGATGTATCTCTCTCCCCCTCTCCCTTCTTCTATGAAATAAAATAAAATAACTAGAGCATCGACCACATAGCCGCTGTTACACTGCCAGCACATTCGACCCTGTCGCTGCTGCTCCGTGAAGCGGCGGGAAACAACCCTGACTTTCACACACTCAGCAAACAGTGCTATTCCCACGCACAAAACCGTGGGCCCTCCAAGGACTGGGGGAGGCAAAGATGAACACCTGTTTCAAGTGACTGTTCAGGGGGGAAATACAGACACACAACCGTGAGCTACAGAGACTGTGGCAGGGCCCAGGGGAGGCCCCGGCACTAAGTGGGGTCCCAAGGAGGTTCTCCGAGGACAGGAGGTGGGCGGGGAAAAGGTGCAGCCATCGGTCTGAAGGATGGAAGGCCAGGGCTTTGTTGGGAGGAGAGGAAAGGGCAGGAGGGACAGCAGGTGCAGTGTGGCTCAGATACCAGGGGAGGAGTCAGACAGGCGGGCTGGGGTACCACAGAGGCCTGGCCAGGCCAGAGCCCCCCACCACCCCTTTTCCACAGGAACCCTCCCGAGGGCAGCCACATGTGAGAATGGTGGGTCCTAACCCGGGGCCTGGGGACGGGGAGCACCTGGTGCAGGGCCTGGAGACGAGGAGCACCTGGTGCAGGGCCTGGGGATGGGGAGCACCTGGTGCAGGGCCTGGGGACGGGGAGCACCTGGTGCAGGGCCTGGGGACAGGAGCCTGAGGACAAGACACACCTGGGGATGGGGAGCACCTGGTGCAGGGCCTGGGGATGGGGAGCACTTGGTGCAGGGCCTGGGGATGGGGAGCACCTGGGGATGGGGAGCACCTGGTGCAGGGCCTGGGGACAGGGGCCTGAGGACATGACACACCTGGGCAGGGGGCTGGGGGCAGGGAGCAGTGTATGTGGAAATCCTTGAGGACAGAGGCTACTAAGCAGCTGGAAAGGAAGCTGGGACAGAGGAGCCAGGCGTGAAGGGGGGGCATGAAGAAGCGGGTGGTGCTGGGTAAGGACAGTGAAGACGGCAGAGGGTGAGCCTGGGGCAGGTCTGCTCCTCGGGCCGTCACCCTCCACAGGAAGAGCTGGCTGGTGCTGCAGATGGAGGCGCTCAGTGCAGATACTGAACCGGGAGCGGGGGCACATGATTCCCCTATCTCAGTGCACCTCTCTCCAGATCAAAACATTCCAAAGTCAATCCTCCTGGGAATCACGACGCTTTGTTTGGAAAAACAACGTCCCGTTTCTTTAGAACAAAAGGAAGGGCCTTACCCAGGCCCTTCATAGCATTCCGGAGGGCTTCCGCATCCGCCCGCTCGTCAAAGCCGGGGAAGTCTGTCACGGTGCCTCTGAGAGCCTGAAGTGGGAACGGAGTAATTCACAGTGAGTAACTGGTACACAAAGCAAGCACAGGGACAGTTCCCGTGTGTCATCTATTGAAAATGGGAGGATCAGGAGGACAATTCAGGGTCTGCGCCCAGGCCAGCTCTGGAGGCCTCTTCCCTGGGGTGTGGTTCGGGAGGACCCCCCCCACTCCCACCTCCTGACTCGCCTCCTCCCAGGCCCCCTTGGCAGGAAGCCTCTGGCCCCTGATCCAGGAGCCCACGGAGCCCGCATCCTAGCTGGAAGCCCTAACCCAGGAGCTCATGCTCTCACTACAGGGCTTTGCATCCAGCCCTATTTCTTATTAGTAACTTTCAGGAACCTGGCATCGCCTGGAAGTTACGGGAAATGTGTGCGCCAGAAGAAGGCAATCTTTGAAAGACAAAGGTGCATTGTGGGAGATTCTCTCCATCGGTTTCCTGCTACCACCCTTTGATCATACACACAGCACTTAAAACATCGACACACTACCGAAACCGGTTTGGCTCAGTAGCTAGAGCATCGGCCTGTGAACTGAAGGGTCCCAGGTTCGATTTCGGTCAAGGGCATGTACCTTGGTTGCGGGCACATCCCCAATGGGGAGTGTGCAGGAGGCAGCTGATGGATGTTTCTCTCTCATCAATATTTTTAATTCTTTCTCCCTTCCTCTCTGTAAAAAATCAATAAAATATATATATTTTTAAAAAGCATTGACACATTTCATGCCTGTACATCCGTCGATCTTTAGCGGAAGAAGGCTACAAACACTGAGCCAAATGTTTATCTTACGACAAAGGGAGGCTGCAGCATTTCCTTCACCCACAAATGTCTTCAAGGTCCCTCCAAACTCCCCTCAGGTTCCATCTGAAAACGAGGGGCCCTAGGGGGAGGGGAGGACCCGTCGGGTTTGCAATCACACGTGTTGGATCATGGACACAGACACACCCGGTCACCTGCTCCCCACCCCAGCCTGCTGCACTGAGCCAACAACAGCCCACACCAGCCAAACAGAACAGACGCCGAGAGAGAGCCACAGGACTCAGTGTCTGTGGCCGCTCCTCCGGCCCTGAGCCACGCCTCCTGAGAGAGCCCCTCAGGCGAGGCCTGGTCCTCCCAGGGCAGCAGGGACCTGCTGAGTCAGCTTAGGGGGAGCCCCGCCCTCCACATCTGTCCAGTCCTCACGCCCCTCTTTGAGGAGTAGGTCCTGGGCTGTCTCCAGCAAGAGCCCTCCTGGGCCAGGTTAGCAAGACCCCCTGCCCTGGGTGCTCAGTAATCTACCTTCTGATTCCCTTCCCCTACTGCATCCCCAGTGTCTGCTGTATTCAGACTGGAACCCACTCTCTCCCCCACTGCAACCATCTTCAATAAAGCCTCCCTCACCACCGTAACAGGGTCAGGATGATCCTCTCTCCTGTCCCTCCTCTCATTCAAGGGAAGAAGAAAGGTTCCTCACCCTTCCTCTCAACAGGAGTCACCCCGAGACTCTTCAGGGGACCTCAGGGCTGTGTCCAGGAGGAAGGGCTGTTTGCCGCCGCGTGACTGCCAGGCCGGCCTGCAGGCTGGCAGCAGCTCCTTCCTCGTCCTGGAGCTAAAGAAAGGGTGTGGCAGCTAGGGAAGGGGAGGGGCAGCCCATCCCTCGTCCCATTCGGAGGCCAGGAAGCTAAGTCAAAGATCTCCACTCCCCCGGCCTCCCCAGGAAACGTGCCCCCGCCAGGCTGTCTCCACCGCCCACCTCTAACACAGCAGATGCTCGAAGAGCCACAGGTCCCCTCCCCTGGTTCCATGGCTTGAGCCATGAGAAACCGGGCGGCTGATATGGGCAACATCATGTGGCCCTACATGGTCACAGGGGGCACCGCTCAGGAGATAAGCGGGGAAGGCTGGGAAGATGGCCCTTCCAGACTGGGAGGCAAAGTGCTGCTCTGGGGCCAAGTGCAGCCACTTAGTGGGGCTGCTCTGGGGCCACGTGCAATCACTTAATGGGGCTGCTTCAAACCCTCTGCTGGCACCACCAGCATCGCCATAACAATGAGGAACCACAATGGATGTAGTTTGCCAGTCTGTTTATTCATTCACTCAACAACCATTTTCTTTTCCATATTGCTAGAGGCCCGGTGCATGAAATTTGTGCGCTCAGGGGCGGGGAGGGGGGCTCCCTCAGACCAGTTTTTGCCCTCTTGCAGTCCAGAACCCCTCGGGGGATGTCCACCTGCTGGCCTAGGCCCGGTCCTTCCAGGGATGGAGCCTAAGCCGGAAGTCAGACATCCTTCTCATAGTCTAGGGCTCTCACAGTCTGGGACCCCTCCCTCCTTACCACCACCTGCAGCGGAGGCAGGAGAGGCTCCAGCCACTGCACTTGCCAGCTGTGAGCCCGGCTTCTGGCTGAGCAGTGCTCCCCTGTGGAACACACTGACCACTGGGGGGCAGCTCCTGTGTTGAGCGTCTGACTCCAGGTTGTCAGTGTGCATCATAGCGACCGGTTGATTTGCATATTAGGCTTTTATTATATAGGATATATTTTATACCAGAAAAGAAGGGAGAGGGAGAGATAGAAACATCAACAATGAGAGAGAATCACTAATCAGCTGCCTCCTGCTTGCCCACACTGGGGGCCGAGCCACAGCCAAGGCATGTGCCTTGACTGGGAATCAAACTGACATCCTGGTTCATAGGTCGATGCTCAACCCCTGAGCCACACTGGCTGAGCAACAACCATTTCTGAATGCCCCCACATGCCGGGCACTGTACACTCACTAGGAAAACACCGGGACTCTACAGCCAAGAGGGTATGATGCCGTGTAAGTGGAGCTGGGAGTGTGTAGGCACACACAGAGGGTTCTCCGAGGCGACATGAGCACTTGGGGAGGGACTGAGAGGGAGGATCAGGAAGAAACGGGAAAAACTTCCCCAAAATGTCCTGAAAGTGGCCTGTGAGTCGCCAGGCAGGTTCCGGAAAGTGGAGGAGTGCAGGGAGGGGCTTCAGAAGCATAAAACCGGGAGGAATGCGGCTCTGGTGAAGGGTGAGTGTTTCAACAGCCAGGGGAGGGGTAAGTGTTTCAACAGCCAGGGGAGGTCCTGTGAGGGCTCTGGAACTTCAGCTCAGGAATTCTGTCTTCCTCTGTGCTCCAGGCCAGCCCTCAGGGACTCGGGAGGCACAGCCACTCAGCACCCAGTTACCAGGGCAGCAGGGGAGACGACAAAATGGACCCTGCAAACCTGGGAAGACTGTGCAGAGCTACCAGCACGAGAAGGTGGACGACTCCGGGCAGGAGCCACTGAGGCGGAAAGGAATAGACAGACAGGGTCAGGCTGGACAGACGGGGTCAGGGCTGGAAGGATGGGGTCAGGCCCAGAAAGAGGGGATCAGGCCCGGAAAGAGGGTATCAGGCCCGACAGACGGGGTCAGGGCCAGACAGACAGGGTGTCGGCCGGACAGACGGTGTCAGGAGCAGACAGAGGGGGTCAGGGCCAGCAGATGGGATCAGGGCTGGACAGACAGAGTTAGGGCCGGCAGAAGGAAGCACGAGGCCAGCTCCTTGTTGGCAGGGGAGTGGGCGGCTGCTTTCCTTCCCCCACAGCAGGCCTGTGAGTGACAGGTGGGAACTGGAGCTGGGAGGAGGCGGTCACCAAGGGCAGAAACAGGAGAAGGGGGAACGGAAACCAGAGGAGAGGGGACGTCCCCTGCCCTGGGAAGGCCGCCAGCACCTGCATGGCTCACCAGGGCCCTGGCATGAAGGCCAGAGGGAAACGTGTTCCAGGAGGGGAGGCGGCAGGCGTGTCCAAACCAGAGGAAGAGAAGGACGGGGCTGGGGAGCAGGGCCTGGGTTGGGGGCCTGGGTCTGGGCAGCGGGAACAATAGGCTGGAGACATGGAGCAGTGAAGGGAGGGGAGGGGCCATCTCTGGGAGCCCCCATCTTACAAACAGAGGTTTATTAAAGCATGCTTGTAAGAACATAAGGACAGACTCGGCCCTGGCCGGGTAGCTCAGCTGGCTGGAGCGTCGACCTGAGAAGTCAAAGTGGCAGGTTAGATCCCCAGTCAGGGAGCATTCAAGAAGCAACCAATGAAGGCATCAGTAAGTGGAACAGGTCTCTCTCTCTCCCTCCCTCTCATCAACAAATAAGTAAAACATTAAAAACACTTTTCCTCATCTACAGGCTAGGGAGGAGTTACAAACAGCCGTTAACACAGGGGTGAGGTGAACGACAGAGGAGACAGCAGAGATTTGCCCAAAAAGAAGAGATCTTTTTTTGACCCTGAGATGAAGGACACTGGGCGAAAGCTGGAAGAGAAGTGTCCTCAGAACCTCAGCCACTGCCTCTAGCTAGAGAGCTTTCTAGAAATTGGGAAATACTCTCTACATTCTATACGGCCAGGGTCACCGAACACGCTAGCAAAGCCCTTGTAGGGATCAGATGTGAGTCACAGACATGAGTCAGAGGCCACAGCCCTCGTGTGGACATCCTGCCCCCACCCGCCCCGCCCACGGAGCGAATGTGGGCTGTGGGCTGAGCTGGGCAGGGTGCCTTCCCGTGACTCAGACAAGGCTTCCCTCCATCCTGTGCGCTCCCTCGCCCGGCACACAATGGGCCTTGCCCGGAAGATCTCAATGCACCAGGTGCTGTCCCTCAGCCATGCTGTCCTCCTCTACCTCGTCCCCTGCCACCATGCCTTACACACGTTCTCCGACAATATCTGGCCAAACCTATAATTCACTGTAAATGCTCACCTTCAAAATTACCCACTCCTCCAGCTCTATCATTTTGTTGGCTTTTTTGGAAAGTTCTTTGCCTTCAAAGACCAGGCACGCCAAAATAAAATGGGTAAAATCAGACCAAAGAACAAGGGAAGGGTTGCTCTTCTCTGCAGAGAATTTAAAGACACAGAAAGGCTGGGTCCAAAAACCACATCCAAGTAAAGCCAAAGAAAGGTCTCAGGAGTCCTAATTTATCTTTTAATCAACTGCTCTGTCTGTGAAGTTTTAGAATAGTAATCAGGTTATATGAGTGGAATTTACTTGAGGAATGGACCTATGATGTAAAAATGTTGTGACATTTCTACCACATTAAACTTCTAAGTCGCTAAGAGAAGTCGTCACTGACGGCCACCTCTAACTTGCTAACTTGCCAACTCACCCGCCACTGGGCAGGCCTCCCGGGCAGGCGCTGCCAGGAGGGCGTGAAGGGCCCACTGCCAGGGAACTCAGGGACTGGCGACGCAGCCAAGCCCTTTTGGATCCAGCTCTTCCAAAGGATCCAAAACAAAGACAAGAGTCAAAGGAACGGGGACCTGAGTGAGACTAGCTGGAAGCAGCACAGGCCAGGAGTATCGGATAACCCTGACCCGAGACCAGAGGGGAAATCCTTGGCCACCGAAGGATCGGACTGCAGGTGCAGGGCCTGGAAAGTGCAACAGATGGAGCATCGCCTCTGGACAGAGCCTCGTCGCAGCTTCCCCCCTCAAACTGCCCCTGCCCCCGTGCCAGCCCTTAGTAAATCACCACAGCTCAGGGAATGCAACCCAACCTTCACCTCAGAGGTAACTCCTCTGACATTCATTATGTTTCTAGTGAAAAATTAAGGAGCCCGATTTTGTCGTGATGACATCCCTACTGTCCTTGAACATGTTCACTCTATAAACAACCTTATAAATTTCCGAGACCGGTTTGGATCAATGGATAGAGCGTCGGCTTGGGGACTGAAGGGTCCCGGGTTCGATTCCAGTCAAGGGCAGGTACCTTGGTTGCGGGATAGCCCCAGTAGGGGGTGTGCAAGAGGCAGCTGATAGATGACTCTCTCTCATCTATGTTTCTAGCTCTCTCTCTCCCTTCCTCTCTGTACAAAATCAATAAAATATATTTAAAAAAATAAAATAAAATAAAAAAATAAAAAATAAATGAAACTGAGCTCAGACTGCCCCAGTATAATATTTTAAAGTTCTATCACCTAAAAGAAAATTAAAGATAAAAGCCTTAAATTGAATGAAAATGTGTTCAATAGATCATTCACCTATGAAATACAGCCAAATCTTGATTTTTTTTTTTCTCCCAAACCAAGAGTAGGAATGTATTTAAAGTACCTTGGACTATCTGTGGGGCAAGTTGGCTCTCGCTGACTAGTAAGATGGAAAACCCATGGGAGCCAGGGGGGAGGCTCCAGTGTTAAGTAGGAATATAAGACACTGGTGCGGAAGATGGTTCATAAACATGAAGAACTGCCGCTATGCGTGTCAGAGTGCCTGAGCCTCAACCTATGAACCAGGAAGTCACGGTTCAATTCCCGGTCAGGGCACATGGCCTGTTGCGGGCTCAATCCCTAGTGTGGGGTGTGGTACGGGAAGCAGTCAACTGATCGATCGATGATTCTTTCTCACCATTGATGTTTCTATCTCTCTCTCTCTCTCTCTCCCCCTTCCTCTCTGAATCAATTTTTTTAAAACTGATTTTTTAAAATATATTTTTATTGATTTCAGAGAGGAAGGGAGAGGGAGAGATAGAAACATCAATGATGAAAGAGAATCATTGATTGGCTGCCTCCTGCACACTCACCATTGGGGATTGAGCCCTCAACCTGGGCATATGCCCTGATCTGGAATCGAATCAGTGACCTCTTGGTTCCTGGGTCAACACTCAACCGCTGAGCTACACTAGGCTGTGCAAGAGACACTGATTTTTAATACGTTTTAAATTGCTAAAATGTGCACCTGGGAGAGAATAGGGCATCTAATCGCATGAGTCTACTGCAGGTGGCCAGAGTGAGGTCTCTGGTCCCCACACCCACAGGTCAGCACCAGGAATCACCGCGAACCACCACACTGAACCTGAGGCCAGAGGACATCAATTCCAAAATGCAAGTACAGACAACCAAAGTCCATCGCAATATTAAATATTTTATCAAAATGTTTTGGTTGAATGGCCCCCAAGGATAACTAATGACAAAGTCAGTGCGAATTTGACACTGTATCTTTAATAGCTGTAACTTTTATGATAACTAAAAAATGTGGCTTTGATTGGAAACGGGCCTGGTGTTATGTTGGCATAGAAATCACATACATCATCTTAAAATACAAATCAGCTTTCTCCCATGTTCTGCCCAGACACTAGTTCCATTCTTTGGAGGTATTAATGTCCGCACCGGAATAATGTGCTCACTGATGCTCTCTGGGGTCAAGTGTCTACATAATTAAGAGGCATTGATTGAAAAACTTCAAACATCGCTGGGAAAACATACAAGAAAGATTCAAGAAACAGCCAATGAGCAAGGATAAAGAGGATTATTCTTTGAAACTTGCTCACTCATCATTTATATCACCACACCAGCATATCAAGATAGGACAAATTATTCTCAGGAAAGTTAATTCCACATAAAAGTATCCTTTCCATGAGGAAGAACCTAAACCAAAGTTTCCACTTGAGGTAACGTGAAGAATAGGTTTATTGTAAGATTTCTTATGTGCAAAAGAGGAAGAATGGAGTACTGTATGAATTGAATAGTTGCCAACCCATCTTAATCCTCCCATTTTCTATTGGAAAGGGCTAGGAAACCTTACTCCATTTTGTTAAGTTAATCTGATTTAAAAAAAAAAAAAAAAAAAGGAAAAAGAAAAAAAAGAAATCTCAGTGAGAAAGGGCAGTGTTTGAGTAGTGAAAACTCTTGTTTTAAAAAATGACCTGGACTCTGACAAGCCCTTTGGAAGGATAAGGTCTGGAAAAGGAGTTTTGGGTGGAGCTGCGAGGCAGCGATGTTTCATTCAGAGAAGAAGGCGCAACATGATCCATGTTAAAGACTTTCCTCCCTGCATTTCTGATTAATGTCAAGCAGACAACGAAAGCCGATATTAGGTCATCCAGATCTGAAACAGATTCAAGCGAAAGTCAACTCAGAACTCGTTCCGCGAGTTCATCACTTAGGCGGCTTTTCTGTTTCATGTTTTGCATGAAAAAAATAAATCAGTGCCTGCGACGAACAGTTCCTTTAGTAAAGCTGGGTTGAGCAACTGGGAAGAGCCGGGCAGGCTCAGCAGGGAGAGCCGACGCCCATCCCCGGCATTGAAATGCAGGAAACTTGGCGGAAAAAAAACGAAGGAAGCCAGAAAAAGAAAAAAAAAATGCGTTCCCCTCACATGACCGCGCTGGACTGTCCCCTCTGGCTCTAATTTTAGCGGCTCTTCGGGTTGTGGGGAGGCCCCTTCTCCACGCCCACTCGCGGCAAGGCGGAGGCCAAGCCCGGCCACGTCACCGGGCCGCGCCCGCGGGGCTGGGCAGGTCCGGGGCCCGGGAGGGACCCCGAGGACCCGCGGGGCTGGGCAGGTCCGGGGCCCGGGAGGGACTCCGAGGACCGGCAGGGTCCCGGGGCCGGGTAGGTTCCCCGGGGCAGAGTCTCCTAAACTTTCTGGCTCTCAGACACCCCAGAGCCCCGGGCGCCCTGACCGGGACGCTGACCGGGGCGCTCGCTGCGCGGGGCCTTACCTGCGCCATGGCGACCGCTCGGGTCCGGAGCAGAGACGAAGACGAAGGGTCGTGGGCCTGCAAGACAGGGCAGCGCTGGTTCCCGGGCAGACCGCCTCCCGCCGGGGGTCCCCTCCGCCCGGCGTCGTGCCCCGCTCCCCCGCGGAGGCCCCTGCCCGGGCCGGACGCGCACTCACGGAAGAGGAACCGGAGCCTCCGGAGAGCGGAGAGCGGGCGGCGGCGCGGCGTCAGGGATGCCAGCGGGGCTCGGACCGCTGCTCAGCTCCAGGCAACGGAAACGTCCGGCGCCCCGCCCCGCCGGTCCCGCCTCCGGCCCCGCCGCCCCGCCCTCGGCCCCCGGCTCCCCCCTCCCCCCCCCCCCCCCCTTCCCCCGGCCCCGGCCCCGGCCCCGGCCCCGGCCTCGGCCCCGTGCGCCTGCGTGGGCGCCGGGCCGCGGGTGGGGCGGCTGCGGCTGGGCGGGGGGACCCGGTGGGCGCCGCTCCCGAGGGCGGGGCGCTGTCCGGACCCCGGGCCCCGGGCCCCGCGCCCCGGAAGCGGGGCCCCCGCGGCGCAGTGACTTTGCGGGACAGCCTGTCCGGGCGCCAAAGACGGCTGTGACCTTGGAAGAGAAGCGTGAGGCTGGAGGGCCGTTCCCAGTTGTGTTTAAGTTACGCGTCTTTTTCTTTTTCTCTTTAAGAGCCAGTCCCTCTCTTAGAGGTGGAGCCTCCGTGTCTTAGGAGGGAAATTTCACAACCTCTGCGGGGCCGGCTTCCTTCTCAGAAGCAGCCGAAACCCAGTGTTCCTTAAACTTGATGGATGTCCCGGGGAATCCATGCCACGTGAGCACAGAGAGAGACCGGGTGTCCTAGGAGGCCCGGTGGACTGGGAACTGGAGAGGCTGGAGGCTCAGGGTGTGGCCGGGGCAGGAGAGAAGCTGCGCCGCGCCCCCTCCCCACCCCTCCACCCCCCACCAGAGGCGCTGAGACATGGCCACGCCTGCGGGTCCCAGACCAGAACTTGCGGGCGGTGGGCGGTGGGGGGCGGGGGGGGGGATACGGAAGGGGTGTGTCATCTGGAAGGGAGAACTGGTGGGTTCTCTGCCTGCGAGTTCTTCGCTGGCGCCCGTGAGGCCCGGACCAAGGAGCAGCACAGAGGCTGCTGCACCCGCCCAGGTCGCCTCCCAGTTCCCGCCCCGCCTCTTCTCACCGTCCGCTTCGCCTCCTGCTGAGTCCCAGCGGCCCCTGAGGTCGGGCATCCTACCTGCTCTTCAGATTGAAGTGGTTACAGAGCCTTTGGTGGGGGAGAGGGGGGAGATGGATCCAGACTTAGTTCAGAACCTCATCCTGCGCCAACAGGCTGAACTAGAGGAGGCGACTTACCTTCCCCATCCCGGGATCCCAGTGCTCACAGGAAGCTAAAAGCAGGCTCTGGAGTTTTACCTTTGGATGTCCTTCCCCTGTTTCCATTCAAAACAATATTTGTATTTACCCAGTGAAACCTAAGTCACCTTCCCAGCAGGCGGCTGGACTGTGGGATTGGGTAAATAATTAGTGAGAAAGGCTCTCGGGGGGCTCTGCAGGGTGGAATGTTTGGGAGCAGATGAAGATTCTCGGGGCTGTGAGTGGAAGGAAGGAGCCACAGAAGTCCTCGCCCTCGCCCAGGACAGGGTAGGTCTGGCCTGTTGCTGCCTCCCCTGCCCAGCCCCACCAGCCCCCCACCCCCACCCCAGCCCCCACCAGTCCCTGCCCTGAGGCCAAGTCGCTGCTCCCTGAGTGTTTCAGGTGGAAGACTGATGGTGAACATATCCACTGCGGCTGGTGTGGGTTTTATCTTGAACAATGGCTGCTGTTAACTGCAAACCACTGATACTCAGGATGACGAGGAAGATATGTGAAGGAGTCCAAAGGAAGTCTCGTAGGAAGCATGGCAGCAGAGGGACAGACCTGTGGGCTCAGACAGGGCCTTGTTTGGGAAAGGACTGGTTCTGGGAGGAATAAAGTGTGTTTTATGGTCTGGCCGGCATGAGGCCTGGACAGCGTTTCGATTTCCCTGCTTCAGGTGGTGGTGGGGAGAGGAATACGGAAGGGGTGTGTCATCTGGAAGGGAGAACTGGTGGGTTCACCCACCCCACCCACCCCTGCTGCTCAGGCCTCAGCTAGACACCCACCCCACCCCAGGCTGGCTTCCATTTCTCATCCTGCTTTCTCCGTCCAAAAACTCTCACCACCAAACCCCACCCTCGTTTCCATGCTGAGGATTTGGCCCCACCCATCCCACTCAAACACCAAAAAGCAGGCTGGGTGACCCCACAGACCCTGCCTTCCAGCTCACTCCCATGGGGCTGGTATGGTCCTCTGAGCTCTGCTTTTTCCCTGGCTCTTCCTCAGTCACTCACCGGCTTTACTGTGTCAGACCTTGGGACAGACATTGAGGATACAAAAATAAAAAGGTGCACAGACTGTCCAGGAGGGCACCCAGCCTGCAGACTCAGTGGGTGACAGCAGAGTGCTGGAATTTATGTAAGGACTAGAGGCCCGGTGCACTAAATTTGTGCATGAAATTCATGCACTGGGGGGTGGGGGGTCCCTCAGCCAGACCTGCACCCTCTTGCCATCCAGGAGCCAGCAGCTGGACATCCTTAGCGCTGCCACAGAGGAGGGAGAGGCTCCCACAACCGCCTCTGCACTCACCAGCTTGAGCCTGGCTTCTGGCTGAGCGGCACCCCCCCCTGTGGAAGCGCACTGACCACCAAGCAGCATGTCATAGTGGGTGATTGAGTGGTCTTAGCATATCATTAGTATATCATTAGCATATTATGCTTTGATTGGTTGAATGGATGACTGGTTGACCAGAAACTTAGCATTTTAGGCTTTTATTATATAGGATTCCTCCTGGAGTCACAGCTCCAGCTCCAGGATCACCCAGCCTGCAGCAGGCCTGGCCCTCACAAGGGACACTCCACTCCCCTCCAGGCTCACACATCTCCCGCCCTGCTGCTCAGGCCTCAGCTACACACCCACCCCTGCCAACTGTACCCAGCATGCCCCAGCCTACCCACCAAGTCCAGCTACAACCATTGGCCATCCATATGCAAAGGATGAATGAATATAGTTGGACACAGATCTCACACAGTTCACAACATAAACTCACAGAAGGTGGAGGTAACTCCTTATCCCTTGAGTGTGGGCTGCAGAGTGACTTTGTCTCCCACATCACCATTCTGACTAAGCGTCGCGGTTAATGCGTGGCTCCTGCAGTCCCTGGTCCCCCCGTTTCCCTTCACACCATGTGGAAGGGGAAGGTGGCAAATTCTAACATCGAGCTTCTGTCACACTGGCCCCGCCTGCCCACCTGCCAAGCACAGTCTCCTGCTGGCCTCTTCATTCTCCTCCCTCTAACTTATCTGCACAATCGGATTGTGCTTCTCTGTGCTTCTAATCAATAGATTTGTATGTTCAGCTCAATCTAAAAAAGACACTTCAAAATCAAGTTACGTTTTCCACTTGGAAGATGGAACCGGGGATTCAAGACACCGAACCCGAACAGCTTTCACATCACACAAGCCAAACAGTATTTCCCAATATTTTCCAACAACTACTTGAGAAAGTGTCCCTTGGCCCCTGAGCCCATCAGTACCCTCTGATTCTTAGCACAAGTGGCACCCTCCCTCCATCTGGGTTTTTTTTTGGGGGGGACCATATTCAACACACACACACACACACACACACACTCACGGAGGCCAGGCGGGCGGTGGGCAGAAGGCTCTGTGACTCAGGGTCCGGGAATCCCACAGGGTGGAGGAGGAGGGTGGAGCTAGAAAGAAGAGGAAAGGGGAAAACTTGACAAGGCCTCACAGCTGTGAACCCTGGCCGCAGTGGGACAGACGGGGCATGCTGGACACAGGGGTCAGGGAGGTCCAGGGGCCCAAGGACCAAGGGGGCAGAGGTCAGGCACTACAGCAGGTAACCCCCCGTGCTCCCACTGGGCAGGGAAGGCAGAAGGGAGAGCCGTGGGCTGGAGGCCCAGAGGCTTCCTTGGGGAGAAGCCTGTTCCTACAGAATTCAAGCTGCTACCAATTAAAGGCAGACACTGAGGCCCAGACAGGGTGTAGGGTTTCACTGTTTCCCCAGCAGCACACGTCAGCCGTGCCGTCCTTTCTCAGCTCCACCCCTGGCCACCCACAGCCGCCTCTGCCAAGGGTCCCTCTGGGTGTCGCCAGGATGCCATTGGCCTTCTGGGCCCACTGCCCTCTGGGTCAGGGGCTTTCTACAGATCCCCAGGACCAAGCGCCTTCCTGTATTATGGCTGCCTGTTGATTTTCTTTTTAACTGTGAAACATCTTAAACTAGAGAAAAGTGAAAGAGATATTTTGTTACCAATTGAGTCTTCTTATAATTAACTAGAGGCCCAGTGCACAAAATTTGTCTATGGGGGGAGGAGTGGTCCCTCTGCCCGGCTAGCACCTTCTCCAATCTGGGACCCTGCGGGATCGGGCGTAAACCAACACCCAGACATTCCTCTCACAACCCAGGACCATTGGCTCCTAAACGCTTGCCTGCCTGATTGCCCCTAACCACTCCCCTGCCAGCCTGATTGATGCCTAACTGCTCCCCTGCAGCCTGATCACCTCCACCTGCCCTCCCCTGCCAGGACCTACAGCCTCTGCTGGGACTGGCCTCCTCTGTGCCATGCAAAGTCATGGGACCCCCAGGTTTTACTGTGTGGAGCGGCTGCCTCTGCTGTGTGTGCAGCCATCTTGTGACGGCCGTCTTGTGATGGTGTAATGCCACCTAGGATATTATTAATATAAATACCTCTTTAATTAAAAAATTTTAAAATAAATAAATAAAAAGTTTTAGACACTTAATAGTATTACTGTTATTACTCCTTATGTATCTTAGTTATGTATCTAATAAAAAGCAATGTATACAGCAATGTTTACAGCATTGCTTGGTATGTTTCAAATTTCATATAATTAGTGATTTTCTATTCAGACTCTTTAGCAATTCTTTCACTCTATATGTGTTTTGGTGTTATATTAATGAAGATATTAAGATCACTAACACCTTTGACTATATTAAAATTAAAAATTTATGATGATAAAATATTATATAAATGAAGCTAAAATACAAGCTGCTGACTGTAATTCATCTTTTTTTTCACTGATTTTAGAGAGAGAGTAAGGGAGAGAGAGAGAGAGAGATACATCGATGTGAGAGAAACATCGATCAGCTGCCTCCTGTACAACCCCCAATCGAGATTGAACCCACAACCTAGGTGTGTGCCCTGCCCGGGAATTGAGTCTGTGACCATTTGAAACACAGATGACACCCCAAACAACTAA